ATGTTAAAGTCCCCACCAATCCACACACTCTTGACAGTTTGCCGTCGATGGAGGCCGGTTTGGTTTCTTGAATGCAAATTAAGTCTGGTTTCCTCCGATTCATGCATCCTTTGATGATATTTCTTTTTTTTGGATCATTTAGGCCCCTAACATTCCGTGCTATTATTTTCCTGATCATTTGGATTCCTCTTTCGCCTCCCCACTGCTGCGTGCCTTTTTGCTTCTCCTTTCCTAATTAATAGAAAATTATAATCTTTTCAATTCTCGCACTCTCCCCTCGGTCGATTTTTTCTTTCCTTTACTGGCAGCCTCGTCACCTTTCTTTTTTTCAACTGCTCTTTTTTCTAGTTCGGCAAATAATGCCATTGCTTGTTCCTCATGAACATCAAATGTGACCTCTAAATAGTTTGCTTACCCACATGATATTGCGTCTAACCCACGAGGAGTAAAATTGTTCACCGCAACTTTTAATTATATCAGTGGGCTCTAACATGGGCTCCTGAGTCACATTATGTGTGATGGGATACACTGGTTCTTGCACTAAGACCATCTCCAGCCCTGTCTGTAAAGGAAGAGGAGGAGTTGGAGGGCACTCATCTCTAAGATTGCTCGATTTATCAGGTTCTTCAGACACTGGAGAAAGAGGAGAGATGTTGCAGTTTGTTTTAGAAATAAAGCTTGCTGCTGAATACATCTCCACATCAGCCATTAGGGTTATTTCCTTCAGCTCCTCGGAAGACACATTGTTGGGCTTACTGTACTCAATATTTATCTTATTGCCAGCATTTGTACTAAGTATTAGGATTATTTAGATATCTATTTTATTGAGGAGTCTTATTATAAATTAGAATTTTTATTTTTATTATTATTTTCCTATGTGTATTTAGATTAGTTCTATTATTATTAGTTTTTGGCTCTTATTAGGATTAATATTCATAATTCTCCTAATTCACTATGTCTTAATTAATTTTATTTAAGAAATGTTACTTAGAGATTATTATAAGTAGCTTTATAATTTCAACAATTGGAGTGCTTGATTATTCCATAATATACTAAGAGCTTCTCATTTTTTTGATTATGTGATAAAATCTAACCTTTAATGTGATGCTTAAAACTTTTTAAATGTGATAACTAAGCATTAAAGGGCTTGGTGGATGCAGTTTTAGTGACAAATGAGGTAGTGAGTGATTTGATTTCAAGAATCAGATATGGCATATTGTGTAAGTTAGATATGGAAAAAGCTTATGAGCATGTCAATTGGGGCTTTATAGACAACATGCTCACAAGGATGAGATTTGGAGCAAAATGGAGGAAGTGGATTAATGCTTGCATTATTACATCCTCCTTCGAGATCATGGTGAATGGAGGTTTTTGTCGTTCTTCAAGACATCTAGAGGTATTAGATAAGGGGACCCATTATCGACATTGTTGTTTATTATTATCATGCAGGCTTTGAATAGATTGCTTATAAGGGC